TTGTGTCTTGCTCACAACACACCTGTTAATACATCCCAGAATCATGTTTGCTTTTTTTGCAACAGCATCACACTTTTGATTCATATTTAGCTTGTGGTCCACTATAACCCCTAGATCCCATTCTGCCGTACTCCTTCCTAGATAGTCTCTTCCCATTCTGTATGTGTGAAACTGATTTTTCCTTCCCAAGTGGAGCACTTTGCATTTGTCTCTGTTAAACTTCACCCCATTTACCTCAGACCATTTCTCCAATTTGTCCATATCATTTTGAATTATGACCCTGTCCTCCAAAGCAGTTGAGCTTTGTATACCCCAAACAATGTATACCCCTATCAGACAAAGCCTATCCAAAAACATTACAGTCTCTCAGAGCGTGGAGACGACTTTCACATGGTGGAAGAACCCACTTAGTCTGTGTTGGAACCCCATTCTCGTATTCTACACCATCAAAGATACTCACCACAAACACCTCTGCTAGGATGGGGAGCGCACTAGCAGGGAGTCACCGCCCAGGGCAAATGGTCTTACAGGAATTGACACTTCATATCAACATTCCGGAGCTAAGAACAGTCTTATATGCTTCATAATACTTCCTTCATGACACAAGGGTCACTTAGAGTAATGTTGGACAACTGGGTAGTGATATATTACATCAACCTCGAAGGTGGCACAAGATCACAATTCTTGTGCGCAAAGTCGCTAAGGCTGTGGAACTAGTGTTTCTACCATTGGATATAAATATGAGCAGTCTACCTACCAAGCTTCTAAAATACACTTGCAGACTTCTTGAGCAGATACTTCTGACAAGACTACAAATGAGAACTCAAAGACTCTGTCTTTTGCAGGGGTCTTCCAGGAATAGGCCTCTTCGCCATCCTGAACACCACAAAGTGTTGCCTGTTTCTGCTCCATGGAAGGTTCTGGCCATAAATCTCTGGGAGATATCTTGACAATACCATGGCCCCATACTCTTCTTAGCCACCTCTACTATTAATCATCAAGAGCCTTCTCAAGCTGCAATGAGACACAGCCAGAGCTATTCTCATAGCACTGGGCTAACCAAGACGAGTCTTGTACTCAAACCTCATCCATCTCTCGGAGGTAACACCCCTCAAACTTTCTATCACGAAGGATCTCTTGCCACAGAACTCAGGGATCTTCATTCATGAAAACATGACTCCTCAAGAACTCGAATATGGAGCTAACCTGTTTAGATAGGAATATTGACCTATCTAGTAGAAACTCACAAGACATGCCCCCCAAAGTGGAAACATTTCCAGCCCTGGTGCTCCCTCCTCAAGCATCAGAGGTTCTGTTTTCCAAGATCCTGGATTACTTATTGGAATTAAAGACACAGGATCTCTCATGAGTTCTACCAGAGGGCATCTAGCCATCACTACAGCTTTCCACTCACCCATTCATGGCTTTCCCATTCTTCGCACACTCTACAGCAGCCAGATTCCTCCAGAGTCCATACAGCTTATTTTTCCCTCTTCAGAACTTGCACTTCCAGCAGGACCTCAATTTGGTTCTTAATGCACTAAGACCTCCCCCATCCTTTGGACTGATGACTATCTGCTCTGTCCTCCAACTTTCCTTCAACACGTCATTCATCATCATCATTACTTCAGTAAAATGAATAGGAGAGTTGGGAGCACCCATGGCTGACCCACCATATACCACCTTTTACAAATGCAAATTATACTATGCCCCCATCCATGCTTCCTCCCCAGGTCTCCTTAGAATATCTCATTACCCAGGAAATTCACTTGCCCCTGTTTTACTCAAAACCTCATGCCTCCAGAAAGGAATCCAGTTCTTAGTCACTGGATATCAGAAGGGCCCTTGCCTTCTCCCTTGGCAGACTTACCAGATTCCTTATTTTAGAGGGGTTTTTAAAGAATTTCCCCCCCCTCAATAATGCATTTTTAATATCAGACCATTTTGTATTCAACCCCCTGCTCAGCCCTCCATTTTAGAATATCTGAAATGTGCCCTGTTCACAGTAGTAAGGATTGGGATGGTGCTTGGTCAATAATCCTTGCCTTTATGGAACCATAGCTGATGTAATGGGTGAAACTGTTGTTCACCAACGGTTCTTTTCATTGGCAATATATTTTATAGGAGAAATCGTTTTATGTAACTAGGCTCAGACGTCATGCACTGGGCACATTTCTAAATATAAGATAAGAATACAATATATTAAAAGTATTGGGGGGGACGGGACAGGAAGGTGTTGAGTCTTGCTTAGTTCCTGGTGTGTTATTTCTTTTGGCAACAGAAGGCAGAAACAGAAGTAAGCCAAAGACCTTTTATTGGCTAAAGGAAACCATTATTAGTTTACAAGGTCACCTTACCTTCTGAAAAGTCTTGAGAATATTGAAGAGTCTGTGACCTTTCCTGTTCTATCTTCAGCAATTATATATAGTAAGTCCTCAAAACTCTTCTGGCCCACAACACAGATAGCCAAGTGAAAAAGCCAGGAGTTTCTTCTGTTGAGACCACAATCTCCACAGAAGAATCAATGTTATAAATTGGTTTTGTGAGTGACTTACTC